CTTACCTTTCATTTCAAGACATGTATTTCATGCTACTAAAAACAAAAACTAAAAAATAAAAAATGTAAAAAAGTAATACAAGAAAATAGTTGCTTCTAACCTAATCCTATATTCCCTCTGTCCCAAAATAAATATCTTTTTTGAGAACTGTGAATCACATTATGACCGTCACATTTCTCCAAAAGAGACATTTATTTTAGGACAGATATAGTAACATTTCTATTTTTAAAAATAAAAAATAAAAATAAATTAACAATACTTAGGTCTTCACTAGTGAGGATCTATACCATAATCACTGTTGATGTGAACCACTAATAAATGAACATGTCATCTTTAATTACCAAATCAAATATGATAGGTAATACCCACTTACCAAATCAAAAATAGTTATTTGATTACCCTCTATAATTTAATAATTAAAATAGAATATATTCATTTATTATTGATCCATATCAACGATAAGTATAATATAAATCTTAACTAGTGATGAGATAAGTATTGTTCAAAATAAAACCCTACAAAATTATATGGCCAAAGAAAAATTTAAAATGCCACCAATGAATAATGCAAAGAAGTGGGGCCCAATGAATGAGTAAGTCCAATAGATGTATAAATCAGCAACAATTATTGAAGTGAAACATATTCCATCATTATTTCTACAAATAAGAGAGAACAAATGGCATGAGCATCCAAAGGGTATTTTGGTCAAAGGAAAAGGTGAAGTGTGGTCAGTTGGACGGTTTGGAAAAGGGTATAATAGTAAAATGGGATGACAGCGTGCGTTGAAATAAAAATATTGAAGTAAACACTATTTAAAGAACCGAATCACAAAGAGAATTATATGAATTATTGGTTGCAAAAAAAAATTGAAATTACAATAGATTACAATGTATTTCTTTATGTATAACTTATTATAAGCTTTGAAACTTATAATCCTTTAAATCAAACTAGTCATGAGATCATATGTTAATAATTTATAATTTTAGACAGCTGCACCTTACCACTTTATATGCTCTTTTAGTGATACTTTGTTAATATATCATTGCTTATGATACACACACATATACAAATGCATACATACATACATATATATATATATATATATATATATATATATGGCAAAAATGCACTAAACACACTTAACTATTAACTTGTTACAAAATGCACCATTCAACTATTAATTATAGCAATTAAGTCCTTCAACTTTCAAAAGCACATACTCACATTGCGCATATGAGACTGATAACTTAAAACGAAATTTCATCACGTTTAATTGTTATAAGACAAAAATTCATAAAAGTTCTTAACATTCTCAATAGAAAAAGAAAAAAAGTAGTTGAATTCTTTATGCAAGAATTGCAATTAATTACTTTTTGAAGGAGTTGAATTAACTTAAATGTGAGATAGAGCCCTAATAGCCTATACTCATTTATATAGAACTTGGTAGTTGGTTGTACTACCACCTCCACAAGCTTTGAAATTTGTACTCCTTTAGATCAACAAATTATGCAAGGTGCAACCACTTCATTTGCTCTTTCAGTGTGACTTTGTTAATTGTGATTAAATGATCATTATATCATTGCTTATGAGTTATACGATACATACATACATATATATGTATATATAATTGACATGGACAATTTTTCATATATAAATACAAACAAGTATGTGGTGGGCCATGCACCTTTGTAACAAATTGTTTTAGTTACAGTGCATAACTGGGTGGAAAGAATGTGACAAGGGCTGTTAGCTCTTCCTCTGCATGTCAGATAAGTATTTTTCAAAGTTTTCATGATTTGGTCTATTTCACAACAAAATAATTCTTACAAATGCTTCAAACCATTTTAGTAAAAAATAGCTCCATAATTTCTTCCTCTACCATGACAGAAATTCCCACCATAAAATAGAAACTTAGAACCACCCTTGAAATCTAATAGTACTTTCTCACCAATTAGTGTCATGGATTCAAATTCTCGGAAGAACAAAATGAATGCCTCATTATCTTGCAAAGGTATCATGTGTGTCTATTTATATATATGAAAATTGTCGTAAAGTATAAAACAGAAACGAAGGGAAATTAAACGAGTAGTACATATAGATATTACGTGGCTCAGTCATTGGAACCTACATCCACAGAACAATGGCTACATTACTGTTATAATACAATCTCAATTCATACACAATACAATGGCGGTGGAGGCTCTTTTATATAAGAGAAGAAATTATGAGAATGGAGAGAATTAGAAAATAGGAAACAAGAAGGATTTTTCTCCACTGATTCCTCTAGTAACAGCAAAATCTTCAATAATAGGAAACAATACTGAAAGATTTCTCCATTGATTCGTCCATTAAATCTTCAATACTTCCCCTCAAGTTGGAGCATGAATATCCAACTTGCCCTTGAGATGACGAGTAATAACAAGTGTTAGAGGAGAAAAGACGAAAAACAATGCTACCAAACACACCGATAGCCAAAAAAAAAAAAAAAAAAACTACTGGAGACACGGCGAAGGCAAGGACAATGCTACCAAACACACCGGCAGTCCAAACAAAACGATAAAAATTGCCGGAGACACGGCAAAGACGAAGATAATGCTACCGAATACACCGGCAGCCCAAACAAATCAATAAAAAACTACAGGAGACACGGCAAAGGCGAAGAACATTATTGCCGAACAAACCGATAGCCCAAACAAGTCACAAATAGAACCGAAAAACCCTTAACAGCATTTCAGATGGTAAGGGAATACCCCAAAATAGGGGTCCGGACCTAGGAAGAGAAATTAGGCTCTAACACCAAATTGTAAAGCATAAAAAGGAAGCGAAGGAAAATTAAATGGTAGAACATACAGATATTTCGTGGTTCAGCCACTAAGGCCTACATTCACAGCACAGATGGCTACATTGCTATTATAATACTCTCTCAATTCATATACAATACAATGGTGGAGGCAATTTTATATAGGAGAAGAAATTATGAGAATGAAAAAAATTAGAAAATAGGAAACAATGAGGACTGATTCCACTAGTAACAAATTTTCAATTATAAGAAACAATATCAATTACTAAAAGATTTCTCCACTGATTCGTCCATTAAATTTTCAATAAAAATATCTGAACTAGCATTTTGCTAAGATGAAAATGCATTAATTAACTACTGGCCATTAGCTTAGTTGGTATAATTTTTAGGCTTTGTTTGGATACACATGAGAGAAAAAAAAGAAAAAGATGGCATTAGTTATGAGAGAAAAGAAAAGAATAAAAATGATAACAATAATCTCTATTCAGGTTTGGATAGATAAGAAAGAAAAACAAGTAAATGATAATATACTTATTTAAAATAATATAGAAGAGAGAAAAGAAATGAAATGATAACAACCAAATTACTATCATCATGTTTAATTAGATTGGACAAATAACAATTTCATTCTTTTAATTATTGAGGACAGTTTTGAAATTATAAAAATATTACTTAACCCTCTATCATTTTCCTCCCTATCTTCTCATTTCTAGAAGGATAGCATTTGAGATCCCTCCCTATCCTTTTCTCTTTACTAAAGTCATCCAAACACACTTCTCATTATCATTTTTTTTTTTTTTTTTTTCTTTTCTTTCCCTATCTCTCCAAATCATTCAATTTCTCTTTACTAAAGTCATCCAAACACACTTCTCATTATCATTTTTTTTTCTTTTCTTTTCTTTCCCTATCTCTCCAAATCATTCAATTCAAACAAAGCCTTACTCACTAAAAGAGAGTGTGAGGAGTTGAAGGGTATTTGTGGGTGTGTGAGTATGTATAATAAATAAATAAAAATAATAAAAATTGCATAAACTAAAATTGGAACAGCAAGTGGAGGAATGAAGCATGTGGGATGGACATGGACCAATATTAATATCTGTTTGGTGTACCTTTGGTGGCCCAATTTTAGAAGCTACATGTAGACAAAGGGTTAACTGAACATGGTAGACATGTGAATGTAAACTGAGATCATGTGTCAGCCATGTGGGTTAACCTCTCAGTTTATGCACTAGCTAAGAAACAACAAAAATTTATTCTTAGATATATATATATATAGATATATGTATGTATGTATATATATGTGTGTTTATGTGTGTGTAAATATAGGAGTGTGTGTAAATATAGGAGTGTGTGTGTGTGGCTTGTCTGACAACCCAAAATTGTGGAGTAATAATGGGGGTGAGCAATTAGTGTCCACATTCTCATGGAGCCCATTGCAGAGAATTTGTGACTCAACCTCATCCAATGAACTCAACTACAGGATTGATGTTTAATGGTCAGGATCAATCAGTTTTCAGTGAAGGCAGAGTCTAGAGTGTGACTCCTCAAGTGAAATAACTTGTGATAAATAACTCACTGGGTCCAAAGGAAGATTGAGGATCCAAGCATATGTGTGTATTTATCTATTGGAAAAAATAAAAATAATAATAATAATAATCTATATTTTTGCAATACTTGGCTAATATCACAATTTAAAACAATATCTCATTTTAAAATAAAAAGATTAACTCAGTATACGAGGCCATCTAAAATGAATATAAGTAAAGGATTTATCCTCTTCTTGTCCTATCCGAGAAGAGGATAAATCATATCCAGTGGCATTGGACTGTTGTAACACCCACCCGTGAGTCCCACCGGTGGAACAATCCCAATCGTCGCCATTGCACCTGAAAGCACCAGTGCATCGGAAAGGATATGGGTTCCTACTTCCTACTGAGGCGGTCACTAATACGAGAGGTCATTTTTGAATGGCCCAGAGAAAGACACAGAATGAGCGCGCGCCTCTCTCTTTCTCTCTCTAGTGCCCACTTCTCTGTGGATAAGCTTTCACTTGAAGACTTGAATGTGTTTGTTCAGAAGTCATATGGGCTAACTTTTAAGTAGTAGCCCCAGCCTACCAGAAATTTAGTAGTTGAGACAGCCAAACAATGTGTAAAATGTCACTTGGGAGTATCCTAACAACGGTAAAGAAAATAAAACATTTTAGGCTGCAGGATACAATTAATAGCGCTCCATTTCTAGTCAGTGAATGAAATATGTAAACCATTAATTGGTCTTCATAAGAGAGACAAAAAAAAGAAGCATAAACAAGTCTTTAAATTATACATGAAACACAGTTCCTGAGCCAGAAAAGGATGTTGCAACACAGAACACTGTCCTTTTGCCAAGAAAACTAACCTCCCACATGACATGCAACAAATCATCAAAAGCTAAAAAAGACGGCCGAGCTGTTTCAGCGAACGTTTAGAAATGGCAAACTTTGAACGTGGGACACCTGCATCTGACACTTAACTTGATACGCAAATCCTGCTCGACAACAGAACCAGCAGCAGCATGTTCACTTGGACTCATCCTATGACCTTCGAGAAAAGTATTAACGCGTCTGCTGTAGTCACATGCAGCTGATTAATCAAAGCTACTGCATTGGCAATAGGACAAGGTTCGATGGGAACAAAGAACACAGAATCTGCATATAGCAATAGATAATCACCAGGACTTCATGTTTCTGTTCTGTCTTATGAAATAAAATACATCAGAAAGAAAAACAAAGGAGTCAAACAAATTGCTTCTCTATACAAGGAGGATTGGGTTCTTGTACCTTATGATACAATTGCACGCAGTCATTTGTTCACCAAATAGAACAGGCTACATACATCTCCTAACCTCAGCTAGCATATCCGTTTCCAGAATCATCATAATGGAAAATTACAGTGATAATGACTGGTGAAGGGATTTAAGAACCGCTAAGTGTAATAGCTATGCCAAATTAGTAATTCAAGAACCACAACAATGATGATGTCAACACAAGAATATAATACACACCAATCTAATGCAATTGATGAATGCTAAAAGAAAAATATATGAATGCAATCAGTTTTGTTGTAGATCTCTCTATCTTAATTATCTCTCTGTATACTCTGTATCTCTTAGGATATGTACTGTGATATAGTGTATTCAATAAACAAATCAAAGATGTAAAGATAATACGGTTTCAGTGCTTACGTCAAAAAAGGAAACCATTTGCTCAAATGGCTCAATTGAGATATTTCTCCAGTAGGCATTGATTGAGATACCTCAATCGATCAAAGTGCAAAGGAATCCAAAACTTACAAAATCTTATGAAAGGAAGTTCCTAAAACACTTCTGATGCATATCAATTAGAGTTTTCCTAATCATATCATGAATTATCAAAACCCTAATCCTTGAATGCATAAAACCTAATTTGGTTCATCCATATAGTAATGTCAATTTAACATTTAACCCTTGGTGTTGGAGATTACGCTTTGCCCTTGGTTGAAGCTTGAATTCAGTCTTTAACCATGCCCAAGAGGTAACTAACTTGACACTAACTTACTTTTTAACATCTAGCTACGGTAAATATAAAAACAAAATTACAGATTCTATTTTTGATTAATGAAATATGCCAACTTAAATCCTATTGACCTAACAAAATTCCAATAATTCCCTTGCATAGTTCCGTGCTAGAAGAACCTTCCGTTGCGCCCACAATCTCAGCCCCATTATTGGAGCAAACTCCCAAGAAGCAGCAAAAGCCTCTCAACCATTTACTCTCCTCAGCTTAGATGATCCCCATCTTCTACTATAAGCAAAGTAATGATCTTCCTCAGGTCTGTCTGACCTTTTCATTCCAATCAATGTATCCACAAAGATGAGCTAGAGAAGGATTCGCCGCCTCTTCACTGAAGAAATGCTATATTCTCAAGTGGTCAAAGCATTACCAAAAAGAATATAAACTAATTTAATCATTCCTCAAGAAACAAGGAGAAAGAATTCTTCCTTTCGTCAGGCTAAATCTAACCAATTATCCTTGGTCAAATAGAAGTTAGTTGCTAAGCTGGTGGAGTGTGTTTTTACACATGAAATCAGTAACAGATACTTGCTACTTGGACTGAACTGCTTAGAACTACTCAGCCTTCACTTTTTTTCTTCTTTTCCTTTGCTACAGCAGTATTGGTGTCCCCAGTTATAATCGTGCATCAGAGTACCATTTTAATTTAAAATCATGTGAAGATCACTATAACAGCCATTATGGCTCGTGAATCTGGTTTCCAATTTATTTTAGTCTTCAAATTCCAGCCTCTCTCTTTTCTCATCTCTTCCTCGTTCAAAAACTGGGCTACATTATTTTTTACTCAGATATGCAACTTTTGGGGATCCAGAACGCAAGATTTAAGAACAAATTCATTTCAACAAGTTCAATGGTCTGAAAATAGCATTTATTTGTCCTCCCCCCCCCCCCCCCCCCCCCCCCCCCCCTTCTCTTTTTCTCTCTCCTTCCCTTTATTCCTCTTTGTATGGATTGAAGTTACTACATTCGTACGAGATTTACAAACAACATCCATCAATAAATGGAAGTAATGGACACCTGCCCAGCACCCATATTCACAGAATTGACACCAGGTAATGGCATTTTTGTAAATCGCATCATTTTATTGATACTATAAGGGTATATTATCAGTCAAAATATATTAACAATAAAAATAAAAAGTAGAAGAAAAGAAACAAACAAACCATCATTAAATAATATCTGTAACATCTGAAAAGAAATCATTAAGCATATTTCTAATTCAAAGTAATTCAAACAATACCAAAGCATGAACTTGAGTGGTATGCCCTCCACCTCCCCAAAGGGAAGGTTGATGGCTCAAGCCCTAGCGAGCATGTATGTGTGAGTATATTTATCTGTTTAAAAAAACAGTAGTGAAATACGATTGAATTAGAAATACATAGATTTCAAACTATTAAATGATACAATTGAAATATCAGGAAATTGAAACTATTCAAGGTTATAACATCTTGCAAAGTAAACACAGTACAATGATATGTATTTGGCAACAAAATCTTGCATGTTTTGAAGCCCATACATAGCAGGAAAATAGTTAAATATTAGGTGTTTTTTTACTATCCAACAAGGACAGTATAATGGCTTAAATATCAACCAAAAAGGAATGAAAGCACGGTAAAAATTTTGTCCTTTAAACACAATGTTTGCTCTGAGTGCAGCACAAACAAAATATTGACTCTTCATTGAGCAATGCTAAAGAGTTTATCAGCTACAACCATCAGTGCTATCACATCAGTTGTAAGAACTGCAAACAGCAATTCCATCAATTATTTTTTCCATAATAAGAAAAAATAATTGATTAGGTTTTTTTTAATTACTAGATTAGGCCTCTAAGGGAATAAATTTTAGAAGGTGAGAACAAAATATATATAGATATATCACTAGAGATTGACAAGTCACTATCTATTTTACACTATTTCTTTAATCAGTTTCAAGAGGCTGCCCATCAAAATATTAAACCTAACATATAAAAGAGTATAAATAATCTTGAACAACATTTAACCTAGCACACAGGGACTACAACCACCAAAATATTCATTATTGCATGAGATTTAAGAAAAATGAAAAATAAAAACTCCGCTCAAACATTTCTTTGAATAATTATATTTGCAAACATAATGTGAGTGAACATGATCAACAGCTTTGGCAGAAAATTAACTGCCAAGGCTATATCAGTTTTGTGAGCTGAACCCCTGGCATGTGAAATTCAAAGTAAATAGAACATGAAGCCTCAACCATATGCGATGTGAGAAGTGAAAACAAGAACCAGATGCAACCACATATATTATCATCAAGAGAAACAACAAGTTGAAGACTGAACTGGATGCTCAAATTTACAACCAGAAATTCAAATTAAAAGGGACATAAGGAAACAGAAAATTTATCCGCCAAAATAATCTAGATCTATAGGCAAAACCATTTCATTTAAGGCAAACCAAAGGACACTGGAACTAGTACTGCTGATAAAAGCATATACAGGCACGGTTATGACTAGGACAAGGTCTCTCAAACAAACTTTAAACCATAGAGAAGATTGGTGGCAGCTTACCAAAAACAAAAGAAACAAATTTTGACAACACTGGCCATTCAGTTACGGTCAGCATCCATCTCCTTCCGCTTCAACTCCAATGCTATGCGCTCATTCTCAAGCTTCATCCTCTCATTTTCCATCCTCATCATTTCCAACTCTTGGTCTTTCTTACTGCAGAATCTCTGCCATTTGAACCGCTCTTTCTCCAATTCTAACATCTGTGCCTGTATTTGTAGTTTCTGCTCTTCTAACTGAAGTGAGCGATGTTCCATCCGCTGCTTTTGTAAAAGGTTTGCTTTCACCCCTTCAGGTAACAGTTGATTTATATCAAAATGAGTATTTTGTGGGTAAGAATTGGAACTTTTGTCACACCCCAGAGTAGTCAAGGCATTCCCAAGACTAATATTTTCGTTACCCTCGGATTGCTTCATCTTCTTTGCAGAGCCCCCAGGCATCCCATACATTCCCCTGCGATCATCATGTATAGCAGTCTCCTCAAATTCATCACGATCATCAGCTTCTGCATCTTGATTATCCTCGTCAAAATCATCATGTGGTTGCCTCCTCACATCATTGTTCTCATTATCACCTCTACTTCTAAGAGCCAACCGCAAAGAACGCTGCAACTCAGGATCATGGGGTAGATGCAATCGGTTCCCATTATGGTAAGAACACATCTCTTCATAGAACAAATGCTTCGAGCTTAGAATTTTCCTGACCTCCTCCTTTGCTTTCTCTGATACGTGATCCATCACATCCAGAAGTTCTGGTCTCTCAACAACCTCACAAGAAGTTCCCCTTCCTAGGATCTCATTAAGCCTCTTATACCTTTTGTTAAGGTCATTAAATTTATCCTCACACTGCTGAGGTGAAACAAAATGGCCCCTTTCAGCCATAACCTTCGAAACTGATTTCCATTTACCTTTTTTCTGTAAATTAACATATTTCCTTCTCGACCCATTGCCATATTCAGATGTAGCATCCTCACCAATGTAAGAGACTGCTGTAACCAGAAGCCTAACCATCGTATCAGTCCACTTGACACGTTGCCATGGTGATCCCTTCTTCCCTTTATTCGCATCGTTTTGACCATCAAAAGCATCCTCTGTAAAGTTGGGTTCATCCTCATCACTTGCCGGATTTTCCCCCCTTTCTCCCTTTGGGTAATCTGCCAAAGAAATGGTCTGATCGCAATCATGCATGCTCCCTTTTCGGAAGGGGAAACCCTCATGAATCGAAGGATTCACCATTGACCCTTGTCTAGGAAGAGGGTGATGATGTTGATGGAGTGGAATTGGGTGTTGCTGTTGATGATGAACTCGCATTGAACCTTGCAAGTCAAGGCCCCCATAAGAACCACTGCCCGAAATCATATTCCCTGATGATAAATTCCCTTGCATTTCTAGCTAAAAAACTACAATTCAGATCAAACCCATGAACTCATTTCCTTCAAAATCCCTAGTTCAACAGTAAATTTTTGCCCTGTGAAAGTCTGTCTTACAAATCAGACCCATGACTTATTTACCTTAAAAGCCAATTGTCCACTGTAATAGGACCCTACAGCTCAGAAACCCCCAAACAAATTTCCAGTAATTCCCTCCTATAGCATTCGAGGTCCTTCAGGAGCTATCTATATAATTATTTAAGCAACACTTCTTCCATATAGATTCAGATTATACACACAATACTCTCTCTATATATAAATATATATCGAGAGAGATAGAATCCACTAATAGGTGGTCACGATCAACCAAATAAAGAAAGCTTGTTACAGACAAAATTCACCCAAAATTGAATTGATAGAAAGAAGATGAAAAATAAAAGATCAACAATTGGGTTCATCAAAAGAAGCAAATCAAATTATCTGGGTCGAGAACTTACATACACAGTTGGGCACCCATAAAACCAAATTAGACTTTCCTGAATATCACGAAGAACAACTCCTCTATTAGCTTTGGAAAATGAAGATCTGTCTGTGTCCGTATTCTTGGTGGTTATATAGCAATGGGAGAGGGTTGTCGCAGATTCAATGTATTGCAGAATCTGGTGGGACCATTTTAGCATATATTTATTATGTTGAGTCCCAGATAGAGGCTAAAAAGCTTACGGCAACAAACACACACACACATATTGAGAGAGTGTGGTGGTAACGAAATTTTTAGTACGACTGTGCTACTGATGAACCTGATTTTGCAACACCATGGGAGTTGGGTGGGCGTAACCCGAACAACCGAGTTTCGCTTGAAAATTTCACCAGTATGGGCAAGGTAGTTGGGCGAAACCCAAACAATTCGAGTTCCGCCTGAAAATTTCACCAATATGGGTAAAGTATTTGGGACTTATGAAACGGCACTGTTGTCAAAAAAAAAAAAAAAAAAAAACCGGCATTGGTATAAATTTTTGAGTCTAAATTTATTTTGGGTTTATTTTATTAATCCGAGCAACCTAAGGAATCCGAAATACAAGAAAATATATAATTTTTTTATTTTTAATGTTATTCATTGCTTATGTAAAATAAAATTAAAATTAGATTATTTACTATTTATAATAGGTATTCATCTAACTTAGACACACTTGCTTTAAAATTTTCAAGTAAAAAATTAATGATAATTGACTTTTAGTTAAGAAAAACAAATAATAAGATTATAAGATTTGATTTCTTTCCATATTATAATAAGAAGGAATTTTATTATGTCACACTAGTTTTCAAATTATAAATTGATTTTTTTCACATGATATTAGTATTTTTATTTTATTTTAAGTGTACGTAGTTATATGCTGTAACAAAATAAATAAATAATAACGTTTATTTATTAGTATGATATTATAATTTGGGATAATTCAAAAAATTCATGAAATTCATGCGGTTTGTCGTGAGTTGAGATGTGACGGGTTACTTGAAACTTGAATTTGGCACGACTGGATGTTAGAACTTTGAATTTGGCGTGAGCTAATCTCTTGACCCGCCCAACTAGTCCAAATTCCATCCCTAATCAAAATACTTATTTTTATGTTACTTTTTGTCGTTGAGCTTTATGAACATGTCACGCGACTACACACGCGACCACACGTGAAACTACCCACCCTATTATAATTACATATATAATTAATTTAAACAAAAATAATAATATAGCAGGCCGACAATCATTAAATGATGCTGTAAAATACCTCATGAGAAAAAATAGTGAAGAGAATCCATACTCCTTTCTCGGGTGAGAGAAATAAAAATTTACATTGGTGCTGGGTGAGGCAAAGATAGGTATTCAGTCTTGCTAATATTGTATAATTATTTAAATATTTTTATATAATACTAAAAATATTAAAATTTATTTTTATAAACTAAAATATGATTTTATAAGTTATTTAAAATAAAAAAAGGTAAAAATAGAGAAATTTAAACAGATGTTTTGATAAACAATTTTGAACGGACGAGATCGGAGACAGGAAGGGCCGTTTGCCTAAACAAGTCTTGTTGCAAGGATTAGGTGGTGGGCTCCCCGATCAAAATTCTTGTCGGTGCCTTGCCAAGAATTTTAATATAGTTGGGTCAAAAAAATACTATGAAAATAAATTTTAAAAAATATAAATGAATTATATCATTCTTTATATAAAAATCTTTTATATATTTATAATATAAAAAATTATAATAAGATCGTTTACAAACAAGAATGATTTCATAACTCATGCAAACAAATCTAATTTTGGCATACATGTAAAATATATATATAATGGATAAAGAAAAATCTAAAGTAAAAAATAATTAAATAAGATTATAAGGGAGAGAAGAAAATATGGGTTATATTTTCTCTCTATATATATACTTATATATTTCAACAAGGAAGCTTTAAAAGGATTTTAGATTGAGATGATTTAGTGGGCTTTGTAATTCTCATGTTAAATCGTTTCATTATTTTTTTTAGTAAGTAAATTTTTTATTATTTCTAAATATTAACTATTCATAAAGTTTGGAGGATTTTTTAAAGTTTATGTAATTAATAGAATTTTAATTAAACTTGTCCTCAAATTATTTAACTGGCTCGCTTCTCCTGTACTTGAGAGAATTTTGATACGTGGGCCCACCACTTCCATATGATTCCACTTGTGTCCAATAAAGTCTACCTATATACTTGGAAAAAATATGAGAAATCGAACCTTTAATAAGAAGAATAAGTTAATGCAATTCATCTAAGCCACGCAAAAAATAAGATGATGTAATGTGAAAGCAACACTTACAATATTGTGAACTTTGTCCTTAAAAAATTATATATATATCAATATATATTTTATAAACTTTGGTTCTGTTTGAAAAAATTGAAAATTAAGTAATGAAAATTTTAAAATCTTAATTTTTTATTTTATTTTATTTTTTTTTCATAATTGAACTGAATTTTAAGTATTGAAGTTCTAAGTGATAATATATATATATATATATATATATATATATATATTTGAATTTTCAGCGTTTAGTATAGATTGATAAATGATGTCTCTCTAATTTAAAATTTTATTTCATTTTAAGTAGCGTTTTCAATTATATTCAAATTGCGTTATCAAACTCATGTACTTAATAAATAAGTGATTAACCTGTTCATAATTACGCGTTCAATTGAATTATCAAATTTTATTTTTGTTCCGTGTAACTAGTAATAAGTAAAAAATCAAAAGGAACTCGTAAAATAAATCTAACTTGTAATACCATCACATATTTAGTTTAAGGTATGTCTCCCTCTTTTGTTTAAATGGTTTATTAGAATGATGCCCTTGGCTTTGAAGTATTCTCAAAGAAAGAAAGAAAAAAAATTTGCTTTCAATATAAAAGTAATGATGGGAATAATATCTGTACTAATTTTTTTTTTTTTAAATAGTATCTCTGTGCATATTATGTCAATTGAAATGACTTCAAATCAAATCATATTTCGAATTTCATTCAGTATAAATTAAACAACAAAAATTCTATTTTAGATATTGATTGAAATCTTGTTTCTTGATGAGCTATTTTTCTTATAGAACTGTTAATAGATATTGATTGAAATGTTGTTTGGAATGTAATAATAAATATATACTTTTCCTATTTACATCTTTTACCTAAATTTTTTATTTAGATACAAATTAAATTCAAAACTATTTACCACCAGGTGATGTAGTATAATGAGTATCTTTTCTATTTTCTATAATAGAGGATCCATGGTTTAAATTTCAAAAAATAAATAAATAAATAAATAATAGATGTGTGAGTTATTTGTCAAGATTAAATTAAATTTTAAATTATTTATATTTTCGGCGAAAAGACCGTATCCAAGTTAACAAGACACTAAAACTGTGTTTTAGAAAAGAAGAAGAGATAAATTGGGGGGTGTTGAGAGAGTTGGAGGATTCTAGAATAATGGAGATTTTGTAAAGATTTGTAGGGGTTTATATATTTCTAAAAACTTGGCAAACTATGTAGAATTGTAAATATCTAAGAAAAAGTTATAGAGGGTAGATCTTAGTCATTAATTCTAATACATCCTAAGAATTCATTAGAGATAAAGATGCATATATAAAGGCAAGAGAAACATGCGATAAGTCTTAGAGTGTAAATCTGATGGTAAAAGTATGAGTGCCAACTTTAATTAATTAGAATTGATGGAGGTTTAGAAGATAAAAATTGTTGTGTAGGCATCTATTGAGATCAATGAAAACATTGCGACTAAGATGATCGTGTCCTGGGTAGAGGGATAGGACAGGTAAAAGGGTAGAACCAAATCTCTACCCTAAACACATCATTACAATAATGGTAGTTAGATACATCATTACAATAATGGTAGTTAGATAGATAATTCATGTTATTCATTATCATTTGTATTATCTTCTTGCTTGTGCTTTTAGCAACACTTTGATTACACTAAGTTTTTCTCATTAATTGAAGGCAATTAGTTTAGTGTTGCTAACACTTTCATTACACTAAGCTTTTCTCATTAATGGAAGGCAATTAGTTTAGTACATGAGTTTAGTGGTAAATTCTATGTCATAAGTCTCTCTTCCTATCACTTAACTCCCATTTAATTAACGGATCAGTGGTCTAGCAGTATCGGCCTCTTACTTCCAAAAAGAGGTCAAGAGTTCAAGTCTCAAAAGAGACAAGTGTGTGTGAGTACCAAAAAAAAAAAACACCTCCCATTTAATTTAGTTGTATTTTAATTGCATGTTCACTTAGTTTAACATTACTTTAATCGACCAAACAAACATCCTTTCAATCTCACATTCACTACGTCAAGCTAGATTCTAAGTCACATATCTTGTGGACGATCACTTCTCACTTTATACTTATGTATAAGTATTTTGTAACTTTTATATAAAAGTTACGTGCACATTTTCATTTTTAAATATTTAAACACATTTTTGTGTACACACCTGCACATAAACCGCTAAGTAAGAATATGGCATAAACTGCCAAATAAGAATATGGTAACGGAAGTAGTTTACACCAACAATTCTATATATCAGAATTGATATGTATATTCTTTGTGAAAAAAAAAAAAAAAAAAATCAATCAACCTTCAACAAAAAAAAAAAAAATTACCTTCTATATAATGAACTTTAATCTTGTTGGGATTTTGACAGAATTTCATTGGTTGAATTTTGGCAGAATTTCATTGGTGAATGATACAATTATGGTAGTCAACTGTTTGGTCATACAGAGGACTTAATGCGCAAGTTGAGAGTTTGATAAGGTAATAAGCAAATTTTAAGGAAAGCAAACTTTTAAGGGAATAAATTGATAAGTAATGAATTTCTTTATGCTAACAATAAGTCAGCTATCCAAAGGCGGCAACTTTGTTGTGAGATGCTTCAGAGAGAGATTCTGATCAAGAAGGTAGAGTTAGAATAAATTATTGGGGATTTTTCTTGAAAATTTTTCTCGTTTGGTGGGTGAGCTTTTCTTCGTTTGTGGGTGACGTTGGATTGTGAGAAGAGTGATTATTACCTAGAAGAATCAAAACATTCTTCAATTTGTAATATTCTTCTATATAGTGATACCATCATCATAGACATAACCCTGTTTGTGAGGGTGAATCACATATAAATCTTATCTTGTGGTGACCTTTTTTTCTTTCAACTTTATTC